AAGAAGGAACTTTTTATTCAACTTTCGTAGAATGTAATGTAAGCTAGACAAAAAAAACTAAATTTGCTCACACAATATCGCGTGCATTATAACATGACAACGGATCCGGAGGAACATACGATAAATAACTTGATCAAGAACCAAAGCGAATAAACAATTTACTGAAATAAACCTCCCATTATTCTTTTGCATTTAATTAATGGTAAACCATTACACAACTGTTAGTCATTTTGCAGACCGATGCCTTTATTAGTCAATCTATGTAAATATAACGACTAAGGATTGTTTAATTAAATTCACATATTTTCAACATTAAATAAAAACAAATACATACTTTGACTTTATCTTGAAATAAGAATGAAATAGCAATGAAATAACTTAACTTGTTTATTCGAATTTTTAAAATAAGGATCTTAATCATTCGCAAGAATGAAACTGGAAATGGCTCACTAGTTTTCTTATCATATTGTTTATGTGTTTTATGCCCTCTTTTGTCCCTAATTCGGCGATTAAAATTCTTGTTTTTTTATTTTTATTCTAACGACACATCCCTTTTAATTAAATGTAAATTTAAAAAAGACATTATCTATGTTGTGTTGTGTACTGTTGTCTTTTCGTCGTATTTCGTTTGCCATAGCATCGTCAGATTGGTTTCGACTTATGAATGTCCCTTTGGTATCTTTCGCCTCTCTTTTCTTAATTTCACATTGAGATATATTGATGATGTTCTTTCGATTAACAATCCAAACTTTTCAGATTGGTTTCATTAATATATCCTTCAGATCTAGAAATTAAAGAAACAACAGACATGACTTCCTCCGCCTAACTTTTAGACTTATACCTCGAAGTTAACATAAGCGGGCATCTCAATACCAGAATCTATGACAATCGAGACAATTTTAATTTTGAAATTATAAATTTCCCTCACCTTAGCAGCAATTAAATACCAACTTCACCGGCATATAGGATATAAATTTCCCTACTCATTCGGTATTCAAGAGCTTGCAGCTGCTACTCAGACTTTATAAAACGTCACCAATGTCTGAGCAGAAAGTTGACGAACCAGGGTTCTGTCAAAGAACGTCTCGTCCTTTTTCTAGCAGTTCATCGGAAGATACCATGACCTTTTTTGATAATATTCCGTATCAACTTCACTAATAATACGTGATGGTCTTGAAGTATAGATTATAGGTACTGATGTTGTTTATCATCTTAATTACGTGTTATAATGTTCTTTTCATTTTTCTTTGTATATTTTTAGTCTTTACTGTTTAGTCCATTTTTGGTAATATACTTTTGGCGTGGCTCGGTATTTATACATCTCGCCATTGTGTTATTGTGCTATGGTCATTTTTGTTTTCTTGTCTTTCATTTTTGCTCATGTACTTTTTCCATAGAGTGTCTATATACCATTTTTGTTTTTCTTTGTTGTAATATTTTTAATTTTATAATCATAAGTGATTAAGATTATAACACAATTTGACTGATGTACCCGTGTTTTTGACATTTTTACCTATTATGTCTCTTTGGTTTGCTCACACATTGTTATCAATATAATGGAATTCTATGCGACTGTCATACAAGTGAGAGGTGTAGCTAGCTATAAAATCAGGTTAAGTCAATCATTTTCTACATAATGAAATGCCTGTACCATGTTAGTTGTTTTCCATTTGTTTGATGTGTTTGAGCTTTTGATTTTGCCATTTGATTAAGGACTTTCCGTTTTGAATTTTCCTTGGAGTTCGGTATTTTTGTTATTTTACTTTTTCATAAGTCGAAGAGAAACCGACAACTTCATGGTATGTACCAATACAGTGATAAGTTGCATTCGATGATGTCACTATCGAGAGAAAAAAATGGATAATGGCTAAGACAATTGAAACGTATCCATATTTATCTGTGACGCAGATATTCCATAACGATCGGCCAGTTTATGATGGCGTCTTTAACACTTTCAAAAGGACGACTTGAACTTTACAACTTGGAACCATTCATTCAGCGGCTACCTTTTCAGTAGCAACCCTCTTTCAATGAAATCATAATAGGAACCGCAAACGTATTTACTTGGAAATATATGCTGTCGGAATGTTGCTATATAGAAATGGACAATTGCAAAGCTGAAATCCTGCAGGTCAAGATATGAGGCAGACTTAACTGTATCTACGGTGTTCTTAATTTCTAGTTCAATTGGAAAGATGCCGTCTACATAGTCACCAAACTTTGAAATATTTAGTGAGAGGAAATCATCCCTCTAGCGGAATGTGAAGTTAACAGATAATGAAAGCTTCAACTGTCAGATTGTCTTGCATTGGATGTGATTTTGAGATTGACATATTGTATATATGTCCCCCAAGGGTGACTGGGGAATAGAAGTATGGTCACCATTGGTCTTCCTCCGACCGGCAGTAAAAACCCTCGCCAAAGTGGGGTGTTCGTTTGGCTGTGCGGGATGTACAAATTTGCAGCCACGTCCGGTCAGAATGGGGCCGTTAAATTCGATGCCTCGTGTAAAGAGAGTGTCACGCTCTTTGCACGTTACGAACCCTTGCAACAACTCTTTGAAGGGTTGACCTGTTTCAAGGCTAAATTTCTGTTCCTATCCAATATATCCTCATTTTCCGTGGCAGTCAAAATTTCTCCGACCTCAATCCGGACGCCTTAATTACAGAACCTACCTATTGTTAATTTGTTCTCGTCCTGAATAGGCATGACATATTTGCCACTGGACGTTAAGCAACCAACAATCAATCAATCAATATTGTATATATGCTTGTCTGTTATTGAAGACTCTGAGTGTTCTTACCTATAGATATTGTTTCAATAGCTAATATAATTTCTTTCAGGCAGTTGAAAACTCCTCCTGTTAAGTTATGATATACATGTATAAACATATTCTGAATATCACAATTTAATAGTCACGTGCAGAGTAGGGACGACACTTAACACACATCATGCTTATACCTGTATATAGGTTGAATATTTTTTATAGACCGCAATGATGATTTGTCATTTAAAACAAGCACTTCTTGGTGTAAGTACCACCTGAACAAATGCAATTTTTACCATTTGACACTTTACAAACAGAAATAGGTTTGATTATATAATCTTCATATACACATAAATAAGAGGAATTACCTAAAAATCAACTTGTTATTAATTGATCATTCCGAAGGGCTGGTTATTTACTAAATCCACATGGATATTCATTTATTGGCATTTGCGAGTTACATATTTGACAAATGCTATTTTGATATATAATTGTTTCCCTTTATTGCAATCATTTGTTATTTTTGTAGATTTTGTATCGCTGATCATTTTTGCAGTGCACAGTTTGTACCTTTCTATTGTAGTTTTCGAGATCATTCAAAAATTAGTTAAAAAAAATATCGTCATCTAAGGGCAATAACTCCTTATCCAATGGTTTCAGCAGTATTGGCATTTTTGTAGCTCTGATTAAGCTAATTGTTAATAACGATTATTTCTTTTTAATGAGTACTCTTACTAGGATTCATTCATTGGTTTCGACATGAGTCATTTTGTATACTATATTGCTGATCATTTTTGCTGCTTACAGTTTTTATCTATCTGTTATAGTTCTTGTGGTAATTGGCAAAAACATGAAAATTGGTCAAAAATCGTCATTTAAGGACCATAACTCCTATAGGAGTCATTGAATGGGTCTCAGTTAAATGGCCTTTTTTGTAGGTCTTGTATTGTTGATCATTGTTGCTTAAACAGCATATACATATTCAATATTAACTCCCGAAGGAGTCATCTGATAACTTTGGTGCAAACAATAAGTAGGTAGATCCTGACATTCTTGAGCAGTTTTGGCCCGTCAGATTTTCTTAATCTATTATTGCTTTTAAGATATGACAATTAATGAATTTTACCTTTATATTCTATTTCCATGGTTGCCATTTTTGTTCACTGATCGATACAAAACCAACAACTCTATAATAGATACCATAAGGATAATTCACCCCTAGTAAGGATGATGATGAGGGATGGCTGCTTAATGTCCAGTGGCAAATTAATATGAACTAAGTCAGGAACCTGATGTTCAGTGGTTGTCGTTTGCTGGTGTGGCTCATAAGTGTTTGTCGTTTCTTATAAAGATTAGACCATTGGTTTTCCTGTTTGAATTGTTTTACAATAAGTCATGTTGGGGCCCTTTATAGCTTGTTGTTCGGTGTGAGCCAAATCTCTGTGTTGAAGGCCGTACTTTGACCTATAATTGTATACTTTCAATACATTGTGACTTGGATGGAGAGTTGTCTCATTGGCACTCATACCACATTTCTAATTTATATTCATAAGGCTTGGTCCAAATAGCTTTTTACTGTCCAATATCTTGTCAGTACGAAAAAAACCATACGGAATTATATTTTGTCTGTTTTGTAATTGCACAACTATTGAAAGTTGATCATGCATTCGTTCTAAAATAAAATTTAACATAAGATAAAAGTTAAAAGATACTAAGTGAAATAAACTGCTTCGCAAGCAAAGATTTATACGACCGCAGAGGTCCAACCCTGAACAGTTGGGGCAAAAATGGACACAATAGGGGCACTTGATACAGGTCTGAATTTGGATTGTAATTAAATATTTGACACATAATAGGTTTCTGACACAGAATAACTGTAGTCAAAAAGAACTTGAGATTGGTTATATGATTTGAATTTGTATTCAATTTCTTGCTTTTGTGCAATACACTGTGCTGTTGCGCAATACTTTGTAAATCTGTTTTCAGACGATATACAATTAAAGAATTAGCAATTGTGACACACAATTTTTCTTTGGAAAATTGACAATTTTTCAAATCTTGAAGAAAAATTATTTTGTCCCCCCCCCCACCCCACACACACACACACAATTCTTTCCCTCAAGATATGGTCATAATCTCAATTCAAATTTCCAATGGAGTTTGCAACCATAAAAACCCATTTAAATACATCATAAAAGTATTGAAATAGAAAATGACATAATCATGGCTAAAATTAATATACCTTCATCAGCATTTAATAGTAACTTCTAAAAATAAATTGACAGCTAATCACCTCAAGACAATACAACATTTCTTTATAACAAAACCATTGTAATGGAAGTAACTCTTAATGCTAAAAAAACCCAAACAAATGATATTGATCACAAATAAACAATTCTGAATATGAAAAGTTATTACCACTGAACCCTTTGATATACACTATTATTATATTATATATACTTCCATCACAGTATTTGATGTTTCTAGAAACAGATAAAAAATAATTCATACTAGAACTAGCTGACAACTTTACATAAAGTAAAAGCAATGTAAGGGAGGTAATTCAAATATAACATTGTAATTATTATCTTTTAAATTTTATTTAATGTTTATTAAATCAAACAAAACAAATTTTATACCATTAGGACCAAAATTTGGACCAATTAGAAAATGGGCCCAACAACCAAATACACAGTTAGATTCAGCATATGAAAAAAATTGTAATACTAATAGCATGAAAAATTGTAATACCCCCCAAAGCCAATCCTAACCATCCCTTTGTTGTATGGAAACTTGTGGTATAATTTCAGAGAGATCTATACACTGTTCCACAAGTTATTGTCTGGAAACTAGAAAAATGCTTATTTGGGCCCCTTTTTGGCCCCTTATTCCTAAACTGTTGGGACCATAACCCCCAAAATCAATCCCAACCTTCCTTTTGTGGTTTTAAACCTTGTGTTTAAATTTCATAGATTTCTATTTACTTATACTAAAGTTATTGTCCGGAAGCCAAACGTTTTCGGACGACGAAGATGCCGATGTGATACCAATATACAAGCGCAAAATTTTTTGCGGTTGTATAGAATTTAGACAATAGCAATTGGTTAATCGCTTTGACGTCCGAAAGATAATAGCCAACACATACATTGTAACTTGTAAAGCTAGTTAAATTAATTTTTATGTTTAATGAACGTGCAATATCATAAAAATTGTTTATCAAAACATAACAAAAACACAAGTAAAGACTGTTTAAGTATTCAATATTAATCAAAACACAAAGGCTATGCCTGTACTAGTTTTTCGAATTATTTGATTTAGACGTTGAGAACCTTTGGTGACCCCACAGTTTAAATGTCTATAATAAATACGAAGTGATAAGTAGGTGTTACAGACGAACGTTCACCTAATCTAACCCAGTAAATGGGAGACTTGAGCGCTCCACGAAATAGTCTCGTCCACTCTGCTATGAAAACGATAATACTTTACCTGGACTTTCAAAGCATTTTTCCCAAAACAACTTTCGCTTTGTGTTCCCCCTTGTGCCTTCATTGGAGCATAAGAGTACCTAGATTAGTTAGAAATTCACCAGAAACTACCATCAAAAGTCAATAAATGTCCAAAATACCATAGAAAATGCTCTAAACTAATCATAACATATTTTAATTGTTATTCTGAATTAGCCTTAAAGATTGACACAATAAAATTCTATGTGCATACAAAATTTCCTCCAATTCTGAATAAACCCAAATTTCACATACTTTGCAAGGGTAACACTTAATCCCCCCTCTGCTGCGGCAGAGTCATAAAACCTAGTTAACAAAGGATGACTGAGGAAAACTGATGCCAATAGCTCATACAACTCTAAGGGTCAGTTACCTCCAATTCTGATTCTTATGCATAACATAAAGTACACAGAATAAAGTGCATATCTTACATTCTTTACAATTTATGAAGGATGTATTCAAGATATTTCTTCAATTATTTCTCTCATATTTTTTATTTGCAATAAAAATTTGTGACAGAGAAACTTCTATAAATGAAAATTAATGTAACACCTTGTAAAATTACAGGTAGTCAAAGTTGACCTCTTTGCAAATGAAATTCAGTGGCAGATCTAGTGAGAACACCTCAAGATTTACAGATAAAGAAATTGCATACAAATTTGTGAAATTCATGTAAGAACTGCATTTTCCTTTTTTGTTGTAACCTCTGTAACCCTTCCTTACAAATTTTAGTTCATCTGAATTCTTATTTGGATCACACAGTTGGTTAACATAATGTAGATTTCCTGTTTATTCAGGGTTTTGTTTCCACAAGTTTCACTCTATCAAATTCTTTAGCATGTACTATACTATAAATTCAGAAACTACTGAGAGGTTTTTATTATGGCCAATAATGCAACTTGGTGAGTATCATAACTATAAGAACTTGCATTCTGATATCTGATACATATATCTATATGCAGATTTTCCTGAAATCCCAATATAATTAATCTCGCATTTTTGTCCATTCTCCAAAAGTCGCACGCAATAATTTCTGAGTTTACAGTGCTTAGCTAATAAATTATTATATATATAATATATGTACATTGTTTAAAATAATATTTTGTTTTCAAAGAGCCTCAGAAATGGAAAACACACAGGCCCGCTGAGCTTTTCTACTGTTTCATAGCTAGTAAAAATCATTTTTGTTTTGACAATGTATGAATATTGTTGATATTCTGCAATCTAACTTTGATGCTTAAATGTTCCCTTTTTAAAAATTCTCAGTCCTTGTAGACATTTACATTGATTAAAGGACATAAAAAGAAACTGGAACGCAAACCGTAATTTGAATGGTAACTATTCACTCTGAAAGAAGCAGAATAGCAGGAAGCAACATATGTATACTATGTGTATATTGTTTTGGTTTATCAATATACATTTGCAATTGTATAGTAAAATGGTTTATTGCAGGATATAAGTAAGTAATGTCATATAATTTTACAATTACATATAATCATTGTGATAATTATAAATGGTAGCATAAAATGTATTTAGTACAATGATACATAAGTATACCCTCACCACAATAGCACAAGAAGTACCATGACAGGTATACCTCCATCAAAATAGCACCAGAATATGTGATAAGAATCAAAATTTCACAATAATTCTGTATCTTGTCCAGATTTTTACAAATACAACAAAACAAGGTTAAGAAAAAGCACATAAAACCAACAAATAAACTCCCCTATATGTAAAGATATGTTTTCAAGCCATTTTATGTAAGAAACTATTTATATTACCTACAATAAATCTGATGAAAAGAAGCAAGTAGTTATAATACACTGCTGACACAGAGATGTGTCTCGCCTTTATGTAATTTTGATAAGAAAATGCTAATGTCGAACTTAAAATGGCAATACTTGTAAACCATGCAAAACATTCATAGTCAACATGGTCAATGAACCAGACTAAATGACAGGGCCAAATATCCTTCTTGGAAATGAGATATGCCAATGCTACTACAACTGCATACTAAATACCATTGACTTATTATTAGTGGTTCCCTTAAAACAGACCTAAATACAAAATGTAATATGTAAACGATGCAAAAGTTACCATGATGATGGAACAAGGCCATATAATCTCCATGGAAACGAGATGTGTGAAAACTAATACAACTGCATACCAAATATTATTGTCTTTTACACAATAGGTGTCTCTGTCATCTTAAATTTACCTAATCAAAAACTTTAACATGTAACTTAAGCAAAACTTTCAAAGTCAATAAACCGTGACTGAGGGCTGTGCTGAATAATCCCTATGGAAATGAGATGTGTCAATTCTTATACAACTGAATATGAATACCAAATATCATTGGCCTACCATTTGTGTTTCACCTTAAATCACAACTAATACATTGTCGATGCTGCAGCCACCAGAAACACCAGGTCTTAGTCTTGCTTTTTCGACTTCTTCTTCTTCGAGCAAGACACAAAATCAAATACATAATCAAAGCCTATTCCCAAAGTGGACAGGAGAAATATCAAATGTTACTTGAGAGGAAGATAGTCTAGTATAAATGAACAGACAATCTACTGAAACAATATTTCATATCTAAATAAAATGATAAGAAAAAGTTTAAGCAATAACAATTATACTTCTTTATACTGTTTCTCTAACTTGATAAATATACTTGTGAAATTGAAAACAAATATTCCATCAATAAGATTGTTTAAGATTAATAAAAGAAAAGAGGTAAATATTGTTTTTAATATATTTAATTACAACTTTGCGAAACTGTGATAGAGGTTTGTCAAAATGGTTCTAGAAACTATCAAAAATATTTCAGATCATTTTCTGATATTTTAATATATTCTATAATATTAGAATAAGTCCTTTGTCATCTTCATGTTGAATAGATGTATGATAAAGTGAAAAGATTTGTTTGTGTGTGAGAGCCAGTTTTTATATTCCTTTATATTGTTGTACTAAGACTATAATTATGTCACATGTTTCTGATACAAAAGCAAAATATGCACAGTTCAAGCTTAAACAATTCATTTATAGTTTAATCACTTTTCAAATTCATATTCATTGACGCTCCCTTTATTTCTCCTTTTTTGTAACACTCAAATAAAATTTGTAACATCATTACATTTCTCTTTTAGTAAAGGCTGAAAACATATATGTCTTCCTCACAAAATTTAGTAAAGGCTGAAAACATATATGTCTTCCTCACAAAATTTAGTAAAGGCTGAAAACATATATGTCTTCCTCACAAAATTTAGTAAAGGCTGAAAACATATATGTCTTCCTCACAAAATTTAGTAAAGGCTGAAAACATATATGTCTTCCTCACAAAATTCTCTCCAATTTAATACATAAATATATAGAGCAGTCATGAATTACAAAACACGAATTAGGTACCAAATATAAAAGGTAAAGTATTTATTAGGATTTTGTTGTTAACTGTGGAAAGTAAGTATCCCTGATGTGATGATTTTCTGGATTTTCTAAAACACTTTGTAAAAAATTGCTTGAATCCTTTTTAAGACTGTCCATTTCAGATTGTAATTGTTTATTCTTTTTCAGCAGGTCAGCAGTTTTCATTGTAATGTCCATTAAACCTGACATTTTAAGTGCCTCTGCTGTTTTGTTATATCTTTTTGCTTTCAATCCATCAGGTGGAGACTTCATATCTACCCCAGAGTACTTTTCCATATTTTCCTCAGACATCTTGCGAATTTTTTCTGGAGTTGTAGTATTGAAATTGTCAAGTTGTTGGAAGGAATGTTTTCTTGAACCACTCTGGAGGCTTATAATTTGATCATTAGTATAGTAATTAGTATTGGTAACACTAGCAACGCAAGAACTACTTATTGGTGATGAAACTCCTTGTTGATCCATTGTAGGATAGAAGCCATTAGAACTTAAACTACTACGCCAAGGTTTTGATATAAGCTGAGCTTGAAGAATACTATGATCTGCTGAAGATTTCTAAAATAAAAAAAGGATTTTAAGTGACATTGTATACTAAAATGGACTCTTCTTTTACAGAGTAAAGTCTTATAGCAATAGAGTCATAGAAAATAATATTACATAAAGAAATGAAAACAACACTTTATAAATTTCATGCTTTCGAAGTGCTTTTCTAGATTTAACTTAATCAGGATAAGCTCGAGGCCGAATATTTTAAAGCCAAAGATGTACAATACTGAAACAGTTGGCGAGCTATATGACAAAATCAATCATAGGTCATCAAGAATACCCTTGCGGACTGATAGTCCACCAGCAGCACATATTATACAAATTATAGTTGCAACCAATAATACATTAGCGATGTTTTTTTTAGCTTATTTTGACAAAATAGAACCAAACTGATTGCTTAAAGCAATAAAATGATCCGCTGGGCGCAGCTTGATACGACCGCAGAGGTCGAACCCTGAACATTTGGGGCAAGTATGGACACAACATTCAAGCTTGATACAGCACTGAATTTGGATTGTGATTAAATATTGGACACAGCATAGGTTTCTGACACAGAATGAATGTGGTCTAAGAACTAAAAAATTTTTAATTTACCTATTCAAACCATATTATTATTATTTGCATTATATATAAATCAGAAATAACCAATTTAAAATGGAAAATTTTAAAGAAAAAAAGGGAAAAAAATCATCCCCCCCAATTTTTTGAACCCCCTTATGATTCAAAACCCCCAAACTCATTCCCAGCCTTTCCTTTGAGGTATGATACCTTGCAGTACAATTTCATAAAGATCCATACACTTACACACAAGTTATTGTCCTGAAACTAGAAAAATGCTTGTTTTTTTGTCCCTTTTTGGCCCCTAATTCTTAAAATTTTGAGGCAATTACTCCCAAAATCAATATCAGCCTCCCCATTGTGGTATGGTACCTTGCAGTACAACTTCAGAGAGATCCATACACTTGAATACAAGTTATTGTCTGGAAACTAGAAAAATGCTTATTTTTGGCCCCTTATTCCTAAACGTTTTGGGCAATTGCCCCCAAGCTCAATTCCAGCTTTCCCTTTGTGATATGGAACCTTGTAGTACAATTTCATAAAAATCCATACACTTACACACAAGTTATTGTCATGAAACTAGAAAAATGCTTGTTTTTTGCCCCTTTTTTGGCCCCTAATTCCTAAAATATTGAGGCAATTACCCCCAAAATCAATCCTAGCATTCCCTTTGTGATATCGAACCTTGTGGTACAATGTCAGAGAGATCCATACACTAACACACAAGTTATGTCTGGAAGTTGCAAAAATGCTTATTTTTGGCCCCTAATTCCTTAAATGTTGGTACCATAACCCCCAAAATCAATCCCAACCTTCCTTTTGTGGTATTGAACCTTATGGTAAAATTTTATAGAATTCCATTTACTTAAACTAAAGTTAGAGTGCGAAAAACCAATGTGTCTTCGGACTAAGACCACGACGACGACGATGCCAACGTCATACCAATATACAGCCGCAAAATTTTTTTGCCGTCGTATAAAAATTATTAATATCCTGCTTTCATAAATATTTGAAAAAAAAAAAAAAATCATGTTTAAATATTTTTGTCTAAATCGTAGCTACCGGTAATGCACCTTTAATATTTTTATTTAGCAGTGATTTTTTTAACCCCCTTACCATGGAAACTTGACCCCCTTATAGATCTCAGATTTTCAAATCGTCATAGCTATACCAACTACTTTATATATTTACTTTTATATATCAACAAGCATTCTGTGAGTATTGCCTGGCAATACATAGGGCCACACCTATAAATATTTTGGTTTGCCCAAACGCTACCCAAAGGTAGAGACAGTGGGTAGGTAGGTAGGCATTTTCTTTTTTTTCGGCAAAGAGAAATTGAAGTGTCAGATTTTGTTTAGTCTTCATGCCTATCTGATTAAAAAAAAAACTTTTTCACATCAAGACAATAAAAGATTTTGAGTAGGCAGATATTTTCTGGGTAGGTAGGGTTAGGGCAAACAAACATATTCTTTTTTATGGCCTAGTCCCCTACCGGTTAAAAATTCATCACACCGGAACAAAATTCGAACTTAATCTGTAACTTGTCTTAATAAAACTTAATATACCAATTATCAAATCAATATCTTCAAGCATGATAAATATAAAATGCTTCGCTGAGCGCAGCTGGATACGACCGCAGAGGTCCAACCCTGAACAGTTGGGGCAAAAATGGACACAATATTTGCGCTTGATACAGGTCTGAATTTGGGCTGTAATTAAATATTTGACACATAATAGGTTTCTGACACAGAATAACTGTAGTCAAAGAACTTAAAATTGGTTGTATGATTTGAATTTATATTCAATTTTTTGCTTTTGTGCAATACACTATGCTGTGGCGAATTGCCCCCCCCCCCCCCAAAAAAAAATTTACCCGTTTTTTTTTTCTTTTGTGCAATACACTATGCTGTTGAATATTAACCCCCCCCCAAAAAAAAAAAATATTTGAAGAAATTTTCTTTTTAATTTCTGAAATCTGAAATGAGAAAAATTGTAGCCCCCCACAAATTCTTATTTACCCCCCCCCCCCCCCCAAATTTTTTTTAAACTCCCCCTTTCCCTTATTCCAAAAATAATCTCAATTCAAATTACTAATAGAGTTTGCAACCATAACTACTCATTTAAATACATCATAAAATATTAACAGTTGGGGCAAAAATGGACGCAATATTTGCGCTTGACACAGTTCTGAATTTGGATTGTAATTAACATATCCAACTATCGTGGTCATCACGTGACTTTTACACTTCAGTTGTATATCATTAATGGTCAATTGATTATCAATGAAAATGAACGGGGTACATAGATTAAACGGTCATAACTTTTTTGTTACATTGTGTATTTTACCTCCCAACCCCGCGTTTTACAATATATTCATTTTTACAATTAAAAATGTTTTAAGTTTCAGTTCAGATATATGATTTCTTGCTTCAAAATAAGTTTGAAAATTGAGGTGACATAACCACACAGCCTCCGTTGACTTCTTCGTTAAAACTCGATAAAATTGCAATGGGACCTTATTATTTAATCAATTTTCCAACTTATTTATTGTTACTAATATCCTCCCAACCCCTAAAAAGATCAACAATATATTCATATAAATGAAATCGAAAACCATATCAGTTTAGGTATCAAACTTTTTGCTTCAAAATTGATTGACATTCTGGCATTCGTTAGCAATATTTTAAACATGGTGGCCGCTGTTGGAAGTAAACAACGAAACGACATGCCGGTATTCATTTAGTTATAAATCAAAAAGTAATATTTCAAATTTTTATTGAAGTGTGTCTTATTGTATTTAAGAAATTTCTTATTTCACCTTTTCTTTAATATATTTATTAGAAACAGTCTCTCGCACTCAAAATAAAGATTTATATGCATTAACCATGCAGTTAACATTGACAGCTTGGTCCGACTTGTGAAGATATATTCTGTAAGATATTTACGATAAAAATCGAATAAATGTTGGATGCATGCGTTTTCAGTAATTGTCTTACCTTAAAGCAGCATAGAATCAAAATTGTTTCTTTTTGTTAAAGTGGATACATACATGCTGTTTGTTTTGATAAAATTTCAAAGCTACGTAAAAAAAAATGGCGACCAAATAACTTTTCATAAAAGGTTTCTGACACAGAATAACTGTAGTCAAAGAACTTAGAATTGGTTATATGATTTGAATTTATATTCACAATTTTTTGCTTTTGTGCAAAACACTATGCTGTTGCGTATTGATGTATTTGAATTACCTCCCTTACACTGCTTTAAATTATGTTTTGTACTAAAGTATTTGTCCATTAACCAGGACACCCTTGTTTTCCCCCTTTTTTTCGCCTAATTCCTAAACGGTTTGAGCCATAACCCCCCAACGCAAATCCTAACCATCCCTTTGTGGTATGGAAACTTGTGGTATAATTTCAGAGAGATCCATACACCATTCCACGTTATTGTCTGGAAACTAGAAAACCATAACCCCCAAAATCAATCCCAACCTTCCTTTTGTGGTATTGAACCTTATGGTAAATTTGATAGAGATCCATTTACTTAAACTAGAGTTATTGAGCGAAAACCAATGTGTCTTCGGACGATGACAACGATGGCGACGACGACGCCAACGTCATACCAATATTTTTTTGTGGAAAACTGATAATTTGAGTGAATTTTCTAAGTTCAAGGACCATAACTCTGCACAAAATTGTCAGACCAGAACTAATTTTGAAATTTTTCTTTTAACCAAATCACCAAAATTTAATATTAGTTGAAATCAAACAAAGTTTCATTTCTGACCCTTCAAACCTTAATATGGACTAATTTGAAAACAGGGCCCAAAATAAATAAAATGATTTGCCGAGCGCAGCCTGATACGACCGCAGAGGTCAACCCCTGAACAGTTGGGGCAAGTTTGGACACAATATTCAAGCTTGATACTGTCTGAATTTGGATTGTGATCAAATTTTTGGCATAATATAGGTTTCTGACACAAAATCAATGTGGTCAAAGATCTTAAAAATTTGAAATGACACATTTAATTTACCTAGTATGGTCTGATATCCAAAATCTAACAACATGGTTAGAGTCAGCATATAAAAAAACATTAAAAATTAATTTTAGTTGAAATCAAGTTTAATTTTGGACCCTTCAAACCTTAATATGGACTAATTTGAAAACAGGGCCCAAAATAAAAAATCTAAATACACAATAAGATTCAGCATATCATAGAGTCGCAATAATTCAGTTTTTGATGAAATCAAACAAAGTTTAATTTTGGACCCTTTGGACCTCAATGTAGACCAATTTAAAAATGGGGCCAATATCCAAAATAGTAATACAAGGTTAGAACCCCCAAAAATTAAAGACTTTATTTAATCCCATTGAAATTGGTTAAAAGATTTGTATTAATTTTCAATTGAAGATTTCCTTCTACTGTGCAATACTGTGCTGTTGCACAATAC